CACACACACACACACACACACACACACACACACACACGGACACACACACACACTTCACCTCAGGCTCATACTGCTGGGTAACAAAGAGAGGAGTTCCTGAGACAAATGTGGGAGGAGAGGAAGGAGATAAACAGGCGGAGGTGCCTTTTCACTCAGCMGAGTCTGAAACACGTGTGCCTTTGTCTGAGAGGTCAGAGCTGACCACCACATCCTGCTCCTGTGTCAACACACATGTTTAAAATGAGTCACTGAGGTTTTTTTTTTCTTTCCTTTTGATGCAATCTTCCACTGGTTGGCTTGTAAATCAGGGCAACACAGAACTGTGGGTTCTTCCAGATGTGCAGTTTTCCTTCTGGCCTCGAAGGCCTGCTAACATGTCTTTAGCCTTTTTGTCTTTTCACACGTGGGTCTTTAGTGCACATTGGCAATATAACCGACCTCCAATCTGTTTCGGTCATCTGATGAGCCGACAGCTGACGTGTGGCCACAGGTTTCCTGCCCACAGACAGACCACTGCTGTTTGGTTTGGATTTGTTACTGTGTTTTAAATCTCTGAAGTCATCAGTGTTTTCTGTCTAGTTCTGTAGTTGTATACATTAAAGGGGACATACAGTATCATGCAAAAATACTTCTTTTAGCCAGTAAATGCATTTTGTTGTGTACTTTGAGTCTCTAGAAGTTCAGAATAGTTTAACTTTGTCTGTCCTTGTTCTGCAAATATATCTTTATATTCTGTTTGGGTCCTATTTCTCAACCTGTTCAGTTTTCTCTATTTTCTACGATGTTTTCTGAACTATTAAGTCCAATTATTTGTGCTCAAACTGCCAAAAAAAATAATTAATTTGTAAACAACGTTTCTGTGTCGCTAAATAGTCGTACAATGAAGCTGGAGGCGTTTGGGATGTGACCTTGTTTGCATTTAAAGAGACAGCCTCAAAATGAGTTGATCAAAAAAGGGGTGAAAGAGTGGCTTGTGGAGTTTCAATAAGGAGGAATTCAGACCAAAGCATTGTAGTTCCAATTTACCCCAAATGAATGATTAAAATGTTAAAAGAAGAATTTAAATGCAGGATATGCCTCCTTTAAAACTGCTGAGTTAAAAATAATCCAATTTGTAACACATCACTGGTCAAACTTGGACCAAGTCAGCCCTGTTGGTTGGGTTATTATTTTAACTCAACAAACTGAGTGGGGTTTTCTGCACAAATAAATTGGTTAAAATGACTAAACTGTTGAGTTAGAACCACTAAAATGTTGAGTTAAAACCAATCCAAACAGACAGAATAACAACTTGGGCTGTTAGCTGGTGCTGAACACTATTAATGACTTTAAATGCATTATTTGTTTTGTAGCTGCCTTCAATAGAAACAATAATCCACATAAAAACCATTACAGCTATTATGAAATGAAAAAGAAAAGAAAAACATAATCCACCTGTGTAAGACACATTGCACAATGACAATTTAAAAAGATAAAACTAAGAGTGTTGCAACCTGCGTTACAGAATGAAGACATTCAGCCTTTGAGACATGTGTCTCGGTCTGAAGTGGGGACAAATAAATCTTTAATCTGTTTGTCTAAATACCACAGTCACTGTTGTGTTCCTGAGACAGAGACATCCATCACCTCCTCCTCCTGATTCAGGCAAACCCAGCTGAGTGATCCTCAGTGTTTGTTCCTGTCTGTCAGTCAGACGCGACCCAGGAGCCAGGACTGAGTCAGTCAGCTGACTGGCAGCGTGACGCTGCGGTCACTGCTGGGGAGTGGTACATGTCAGGATGATAAGAGAGCCAGCCACACCTCAGCAGAGAAATCCGGCGACATCTGAGCTCTTTGATCCAGCTTTCATTGGGTGTATAAAAATCACAAGACATTAAGACTTACTGCAAGTCCTAACCTATTCTAGGACAAATAGCTGTCTTATTTTCAGAACAGGAAAAAATATAACTTTTGAAATAAAAATAAAAAAAACTAATGATAGAAAATTGTATCACATCTCAGCAGGAAATGAAGCTTTTAATCAATAACCATTGTTTTATGTTGGTTGAGTCATCTGTTTGATATATGAAATGAGAATTTTTGGTATATTTGAAAGCAGACAGTGACAAATGATTTATATATTCTGTATTTATTCATCATTTACGTTTTACTACTAGCGTTAAACTGATAGGGATTGGGTAAACTGGGGGTCTGCAACCTGCAGCTCTTTGGACCCTCTGCAGCACCTCTTTAAAGGTTTGATCAAAACACAAAATGAATATTATTTTGTTGTTGTTGTGTTTTTATAACTGCAACAGAAAAGGCCGTTTTAATTTGTTCACAAATATGTGTTCGAAACTACTATTGCAAGGAGTGAAACATTAATTCGTTTATGCTGGTAGTTTGTTGACCACCTTGAAAATCCAACTTCCAGTATGACTCTTTTTTGATTTTTTTTAAAAATACCTCTGAGACAAGTTTTTGAGAACTATGGTGAATTGATTAGATTGGAATATTTCTTTATTAAATTTGAGATAGGTTATATGTATTTGTGTACATGAATAATGTCATTTTTATGCTAAAGTGTAAAAATAATATTAACGTTCAAATTTTGTTGAACACCCCTAATGTCTGGAAACTACCCCTTCAACAAACTGAAAGTGGCCCGTGGGCCATCAGTTGAAAATCACAGTTGTAGCATGTTTTTCAGATCTGGACACGTTTTGTTTTGTTTTTTTAGCCAGGAGGAAGAACTGGCTCTGAGTGTAAAGGCTGCAGACCCTTGAGGTAGACACACCTTTTTTAACAATTTTGCTACTTTAACAGCTGACTTTTTGAAAAACATACTTTTTTGCTGGCTTTCTTTCGATCTAAACCACTTTAAACCTGCAGAATCGTGGTTTTTGTGTGCAGCAGATGAGCTGTCCGAATGGAAACAAAAACCCACTGRGCTGAAACAAGATGACCTGTTAAAGAATGACAAGAGCGAAGGGGCAGAGTTTGAAAAATGAATAACTTGTTTGTCTTGGAAAATGATGTGTTTTTTTTTCAAGCTCTGGGCCACGTGTGATTGTATCTCATTGGTAAACTTTAAATTTATGATTCAATGCAACAAAGCAAACAAATATCAAAGGTAAAACAGAATGATACTTGTCCTGTCCGTTGGTTAACTGTGCCCCACTGAGCAATTTAGTTAAATAGCCCTGTATTATTGTCTCAACATAGGCCGATTTAAAGCCAACATTGTTTATTTGTCAATCATGCATGGGAATTCCTTGTCGGAAAGTGGGAGAGTTCAGAATTCAAGATGGCAGCACTTATCATAACACAACAGTGAGTAAAACTCTCTTAATTTTAATTTTAACAGTATTTCTGTTATTTATTTCACATCTCGTTGTAGCCTACATGTGATATTTGTTAAAACGCTGTTTCTATACAGGAAATACCAAGTAGTGCTCAGTAGTAGCAATGAGATGCGGGATTTTTAATTGAAGATAAACATAAAAATTCAAATTTAATTATAACTAGCCCTGTGAGGTCCACTATAATGCTCATGCGGCCCTCCTGAAAAATGAATATTGGAATTAAAGTTGACTTCTGCACATCCCTCAGTTAATCTGTGAGCACATCTGGTGATTAAACACATCAGGTCTGCAGTGAATCACTTAGTGCAGAGTGGGCAAATATTTGGTGTGACTCCACAGTGGGATGTGGATTACTAATTAACATGTCGGCAGTCTAAATAGATCCAGGTTCGGACTTCCTCCTCGCCCCTCCTGCGTGCGCCCATAAAGCTTCCGCCCACGCTCAGCCTTGAATTACTCCGCTGGCAGCTGCGTCCCCTCCCCCTGCCTTCTGACGTCATCGGGAAAAGGGGCGAGGCCACGGCAGGCTATAAAGTGTCCATCATTCATTCACATCCCAAACTCTGGATTACCGCTGACGACACGAGGCTCGCTCCTCGCGCTGCTCGAAGGGAGAAACAGGCGGTTGACAAACCTGACCGATCACGATGTCCGCGGCCGAGATGGGCCATGTCCTCAAGGAGGGCGAGCTGGAGAAGAGAACCGACAACCTCCTCCAGTTCTGGAAGAAGAAGACGTGCGTCCTGACCCCGGACAGCCTCAACATGTACGCGGACACCCAGAGGCGCTCCAAGAGCAAAGAGCTGAAACTGGAGTCCATCAAGAAGGTGGACTGCGTGGAGCGCACCGGCAAGTTCGTCTACTTCACCATCGTGACCACGGACAATAAGGAGGTGGACTTCCGGTGCCCCTGGGAGGACAAGTGCTGGAACGCGGTGATCACCATGGCGCTGATCGATTACCAGAACAGACAGGCCATCCAGGGCTTTAAGACGCGGCAGGACAATGAGAGCGCGTCTCCGGGCCAGGAGGAGAGGCGCATGGCCAGGGCGCCCTGATCCGGCCGGCCGGCGCGCGACGCTGCGCTCTTTCTGCTCCGACACGGTGAGAGACGCACGAGGACACACAGCTTATTGTAAAGTCAAAGGTCAAACCGTCACGTGTTTGTAAAAACAAATCTTCTCTTTGTCTCCTTCAGTGTCGATTTGGACTATTTTATTTTCTAACTCGGACCAAATGGAAGGCGAGGTCATCCGGGTCCAGAGATGAAGGACGGTTCGGAACCGAGCTCCCAGGGGAGACCGGGCCAACTGATCCAAACCGGACAGAACAAAACCTCTCAGAAGCTCCAAACAGGACTGAACTGTCAGAACTATTTCATGTTTGCTCTCCGGGGAGAAATGACTCTTTTTAAATCCTGTTTTTAATTTATTTGTTTCCAGAAGTGGTGTTACTGGCAAACAGCTTGTTTTCTTTGTTTAAATTATATTATTTCGACGTGTTTAAGTGTATTTATTTGAATAAATATCCATGTGTTTTTTAAACAGAACTCATTCTCATTTTGAATCTGTTTTTTTATTTTTGATATTGTATCCACTTGGGGTGTTCTTTCCAGTTTCTTCAGGTCTGGTAATGAGTCAGGATATCTGATCACCGGAAGCTGTTTGAACTAAATGCCACACATGCAGCTGTAAAGAGGGAGTGTAGGAGCGGGAAGTCCCTTTTCTGTCTGCTGTCAGGAGGAATGTGAGACTTTTTATTGTAGCCATCAGGGAGGGTGTCAGGCCTGACTCACAGCTGATAAGCGTCATCAGAACGGAAACTTAAAAAGACTGAAGGTCTTTGAACGCACCTGACCCAGAGGTGTGGAAACTTTTACAGCTCTGTGGGCATGTGTTGATATGAAAACAGAATAAATGTTTGAGATTAAAACAAAAGATTTGAAATAGTTGTGATTTGTCTGTGTTTGAAGACAAATATTAGTGGCCTGCTCTAATCAKAGGCCTCTGTTCTTAACAAGCAGAAGCTTATCATGAAATACAACTTATAGGGTGGAAACGATGTTTATTGGCTGTTATAAACCTGGTTAAAGCTGATTTAAAAAATCAAATTMAATGATTAAATGTGTTAAACGGAAAAAGGGCAGAAACTCTTATAACCTAAATTGTGTGTGCTGAGAGTCGGTCTCCACAAATCTGCYGAGTTGTGACCGTTTGTTCAACCGTGTTTGTCTGTTGGCAAAATATCTCTTGAACCACTGGGATGATTCCAATAAAATCTTCAGGGAATAATTGGATGTGCATCAATAACTAATAAAATTTTAAAGCAGACCTAATCTAAGATGGCCACCACAGCCAAGTGACCTTAAAAAACACAATGGCTGTAATTAAGTGAATTTTACAAAAAGAATTGTGCTGAAACTTGTAATAGCTGAGAGTCATTCATAACACTTCATGTGTTATTGAGTAAAAACTTTGCTCAAAACTTATGAATTCCTTCAAGGAATTCCTTCAGTTTTTGACTCTGACTTAAACCATAYAAAAACAACTAAAACGACCTGTGAGGATTTTTGTTTCAGTGTTAAAATTTCACCCAAATGCGTCTCATAAACAAACTTTTTTTTTGTCTGAAGCTCTGAGGTGGAAGTATGTTTGAGCACAAATACCCACAGGTTAAAAGGTCACAGAGAGATAAATCAGGTAAATCACCTACCAGGAATAATGAAAAGTATAGTCTCACACACACACACACACACACACACACACACACACACACACACACACACACACACCCTCTTGGTGTCCCATCCCATCCACGAGCGCAGCTTTGAAGAGGGATCAGGCTACGATGAACGCATCAAAGCCTTCATCTGTGGAGTATTACAGGAGCGGACGGGCCTTCTTTCTAAAAATACTGCTGCTTCACAAATAGGAACCATGTTAATCTCTCTCTTTGACACACACGCACACACACACACACACACACACACACACACTTGGCTTCTGACCCACCGGCCACATGAGGTTTTTGGAGCTTTATTTAGACAACAACCAACTTGTTCCGAACATGTTGTGTTTAAAGAACAACTCTGAAGCTCAGGTTCTAATTTACTCCTCAAAACTCCACAAAGTTTTTTCACGAAGACTTCTTTCCTGGTTCTGATCCACAGCTCTCATCCAGAGAAACTTAAACGCCACGTCTCCTCTGGTGTCAGTAAACATCCTGTGTCACACAGCTCGGGCCAAAGCTCGTCATTGTCAGCACAAAGCACAGAAAAAAAATTGGGGGGGGGGGGGGGGTGTAATGTACAGCGTGACGTGATTTTATTTCAAAGAGCCGAACAGATAAGAAAAAGTCCATCAGAGGCATTTATGGTGAACACAAGAAGCCGTTGATAAGTCGAAGCTGCTGAAGGGAACATGTTTCAGTGTGTTTCATCATCCAGATAAACTCAACTCTTCTCACATCCCAACAATCATTTAGTGTCCTCTGAAAAAAATTATCTACACGAATCCAACTTTTAAAGTAAGTTTGTTTCAACATGGGAATAGTTTTGTTTTTGGTGAAATCTCAGAAAAACAGAACTTCATGCTTTTTTTTTGAAGCTCAGTTAGTTAAAGTTGTGTGTTTCTCAGGAATTATAACAGTGTTCACCTTTTGTTAGACAAGCATGCTGTTGAGCTGGGGGGGAAGTTTTATTTTCAGTAGGAGATAATCAAATGTATGAGATCAAAGCTGGAGAAGTGGCCTTTCTGTGAATGCTAAATTCTGAATATCTGCTGAAACATCGAGAATATATGAATGAATTTTTAACTTACCTAAAACAAGCAATAAACGGAGCTAAAATCAAAGCAGTAGCTGAAAGCTAAAATGATCTCAAGCTAAAAATCAAGCAAATTTCAAAGAACAGCATTTTTTGAATTTATATATTTTGTAAATTCTTCCTACTCCATTTCGAACATGTTGAGATTATTATTGTCATAAAATACATGTATTTTTGTATTTAATGTGTTTATCTCTTTGTATGGTCATCATGTTCGAAATAAATTTGTTTGATTGATTGATTGATTGATAAATAAAGTTCATTGAAAATATGTGAAAGTTCGTGGTACCTTCATTAAACAGGCCTTAGATGATTTTTTTGATGTATTTTATTTTCAACAATGCAAACTATTTTTTAAATGGTGTTTTCTGCTGACAAATTTTAACTTGTTCCAATTTGAAAAGTGTTTCAAATAATTATGTGGTTTAGATCTGAAAGCTATTGATAATAATAATAA